AAATACAAATCTTTATACGAGTCATTTGTAATTTACAACTTCTCCGTTAGCTCGGGTACAGCCTTAAATAAATCTGCGACTAATCCATAATCCGCTACTTGAAAGATCGGTGCTTCTGGGTCTTTGTTAATAGCCACAATCGTCTTAGAATCCTTCATACCAGCGAGATGCTGAATCGCTCCCGAAATTCCAACTGCTATATACAGATTCTGAAATCGCAATCATGCATGCAATTATTGCACTCAAGATAAGATAAGATTGAAACGACTAATAAAGCAAAGTCGTATTAAATTATTATTATCATTTTACTTACAGGCGCAACGATCTTCCCTGTTTGTCCTACTTGCATATCATTTGGCACAAAACCAGCGTCAACTGCGGCGCGAGATGCTCCTACTGCTGCATTGAGCTTGTCCGCCAATGTATAAAGCAATTGGAAGTTTTCCCCAGATTTCATTCCACGTCCACCGGAAATCACAACTTTAGCGGACGTCAATTCCGGCCTGTCGGACTTGCTGAGCTCTTGTTTAACGTATTCCACTTGATTCGAAGTGTAGTCGCCAGCAGGGACACTCTCGTATTTAGCGTCACCGCCTTCCAAAGGTAGCGACTCAAAAGAGGTACCTCTCACCGATACTACCTTCACGTTATCTTTAGATTTAAGAGTCTGAATGGCATTACCAGCGTATATGGTACGTACAAAGGTATCCGAAGCTTTTATATCGATAATTTCGCTTATTGGGGATACGTCCAACTTAGCTGCAACCTTAAACAGATTTATATATGAATTAGTATAAAATTAACGTAGTTGGTACAATCTTTTGGCGGAATAATAAATTGTGAACCAACTCGGGGGAGCAACGCCTTGCCAAATGCGCTCGCACCGGCTAATATATGCGTGAACTTGTGCTCGTTGCACAGCTTGAGTACAAGCGGCGTCAACGACTCCGCGGTAAATCCCTTAAACGCATCGCTGTCCGCGTGGAAGACCTTGGACACGCCTTTGGCCTTGCACGCATTCTGCGCAACTGCCTCGCATTTCGTGCCAGCCACCAGGACGGTAACGTCGCCGCCGATCTTCTTGGCAGCTGTCAACGTGTTGCAGGTGAGCGGCAATAGAGTCTCGTTATTGTGCTCCGCAATGACCAGAGTAGACTCGTAGCGTGCCAACGAACCGAACTGAAAATAAGTGACATTTGTGAGACATTTAGATTGAAAAAAATTCTACAAATTAGGAAACAATCCGAAATCTGTTCACGATATACATCTAATCGAGCTTCGTACAAGTGTAAACAGCGAGTTATCTTATGCTTCTCACAAAAATAGATCGAAAATGTAGTAAGCGTTAGAATTGGAACGAATCTCTCTCTTTGAGGTCATGGTGCTCGGAACGCAAAGTATATATACGAATATCATATGATCAAAACGGGAAAACAAATGAGAGATGAAAATTAACGAATTCGAGAAAAAGTATGCTCACTTTGCTAGTAGCCCGTAACGTCCTCGCGCAAGTGGAAAACATCGTTGCGGAAATTCGTGTTCTTTTTCGCCTGTAACGTTGAACGTCTAAAAAAAATAATGCTCCCTAATCAGTGACGTCCAAGTCCAAAGTTCCGCCGGGGGCGCCGGGTTATAGCCAGGAGTGTCAATTGGTAAGTGCATCAATCACACACACTTTTTCGTAACAGTAACAGTAGGATTTCGACCAATCGCGTTGCTCGATTCGAAAACGTACGGCCGTACGTTCCCGAATCGAGTAACACGATTGGTCGAAATCCTACTGTTACTGTTACGAAAAAGTGTGTGTCCGGGCCCTTCCTGCCTATTATGGAGCGTATTATTGCACATTGAAAGGGCCATATATGCGTGATCATGTATTTTAAAGAGATTTGCTTTATCGAATATCTATCCATAGGGTTTGTAAATACTCCAAATCGTGCATAAGTAATAATATTAATACAAATTCTTTTCTTCGAAATGCGTCGGCATGTAACATTTAAGCTTTATTCAGACGGATCTGCCGTGATGCATCCCTAAGGGTGCGGTCACATGGACTGATATAAGAGCCACCGCACAAGACTCTCCAAGACTCTCGTATGGTCACGTAGCGTAACGTAACGTGAGCCAGCGCACAGGAAACGTATTGGTTAAGGCCGTTGCACGTAACAAAGTATTAGTCATAATCGTAAGGCCGTAAG